CCCCCCCCCAAACCGCTCCCTTCTTCCCTTGCCCCACTTTCTCTGGCCCGACTGCCCCTCCTCCCCACGTGTTTCGCTTTTGCTGTTTCTCTTTTAAACGTGTACTACAACTACACTGATAAACACTGGTAAATCGAGAGTAAGTGTCCGTAACGTCAAAATTCGTTACAAGAGTAGCGTTCCTGGGTACTTGAACCAATTAGTCGTAACTCGACCAAGGCTCGTTCTCAGAAAGGCGACCACGGCGTTTGTGTTGATACCGTCCAACCGTTATAACTGCGAAACCAATGTGTCATCCAGCTAAACTCGTGAGGCCGACGTCAACAAGTGTGAGACTTTTTATCCTCACTAAAAAATTGTTTGCGAACTCACAGACTTATGTCTGTGACTTCTTATGTCAGTGTCGGATGACACATTGGGCTTTAGCACTATTAAAAGCTTACAGTGAATTTCACCTTAAGCTACAGTGAAAGCCTGCAGCACCGTAGCTTACTGTGACTTTCACTGTAAGCTACGGTGAATTTCACTGTAAGCTACAGTGAATCTCAGCGTAAGCTACGGTGAATCTCACCGTAAGCTACGGTGCTGCAGGCTTTCACTGTGGCTTACGGTGAAAATCACTGTAAGCTTTTAACAGTGAGGGGCCGGATGGTCTCACGCGTTTGGTTGAAGGACTCTCCAGTTTTAAGCTGTCTACTATTGGACAAGCTGGGCTCACAGCTTTAACTGTCTGAGCCCAGTTATGCACATAGAAGTCCGGTGCAAGTTACAATAATTGTCCCTAGACATTTAGAGTGTGTGCACCTTAAGACATATCAAGTGTTATACTGTCGGGGCATCAGTATGCAACGCACGCTGTGAGGTTTCTTTCCATGATCGAAACAATATAAAAGAAATTATTTATGTGAATTAATTTATACGGCTACGACAACGTGTCGCGCGGCCAGGATACTATGTAGAGGAAGTGATAAATTGATCAGTCGGGGGAGAAAAAGAATTAAAAGAAACAGTTTGCTTGGCGGTTTTTTTTATGCGTACGCTGAGCACGTCGCCTTGCACTGGTCAACGATCTGTACTCGGCAGCAGCAGCAGCATCTCGGCTGTAGCGGGGCGGGGCGGGGTGCGGCCGCGGTGCCCTTGTCTGGCTAGCAAGGACATTACCCCCTCCTGTCTCTCCCTCCTTCCGCTTCAACTTCCCTCTCCCCTTTCACGTGCCCATGCCGAACCCCGCGCGCACACCGGCCGCCCAACCCGCCACAACCAATCTGTTTGTGTGTCGCCGGCATGCTTGTTAGCTTCGGGGTTGTCTCTACTAGGGTAGCCGGGCCGGGACGCGACCGGCAGTCTACGCAAGAAGATACTATGCCCCCCTCCCTTGCCCCCTGTTTCCTATTGCTCTCGCTCCCTCTCACTCGCTCCCTCTCACTCGCTCCAGCAGTCTGTGGGTTTGGCTTCACTGAAACAATAAAGTGTTCAACTGGCGTGCCGATGTAAGTGCTCAACACTATATGTTGCACACTATAAAGCGTTTGGCTGGATATTTGAAAACAATAAAGTGGTTAACAGTAAAGTTGAACACTTAAAAGTGTTCGACATCAGGGTTGGCTATGAAGCTTTGGACGATTTAAAGTGTGCAACATAGTGTTGAGCACTTACTTGCATCTCACACTAGTTGAACACTTTATTTATCAGTGTACTCTCTCCATCAGTAATCGGTAATAAAGCGCCATGGCCGCTAGGACCCAAAAGACTGCTGTGTCGTAGCCCTGACACACGGTACACTACTCTCAGCCCCAGCCCGTTATATCACTGTGTAAAATACCGTCGTAAATTTACAAATAAATTGTAAAGTCGAATTATTATGTAAGTTGTCAATTTACGAGAGCACTTTTTTTACTCGCCAATGGATTTGAAGTCGATACGTACTGCATGTATTTTTACGATTACAAATTGTAATTTTACAATTTGCGTCAAGAAAAGTTTTTCCTGTAAACCTACCTACTTTTTTCACAGTGTAGACGACTTGAATGCAGGCGACAACTTCCTGCAGCTCAAGCAGTGCTGAAAATTGCTATTATTACAAAATTGTATGTATGCATTAATTAATTATCATTACAGTCTATTATGTACGGTTCAGTACTGTAATTGCTCAGTATTGTTATGTCTACGAATTGACAATTTTGTCCCTAGCTTAGACGTTGCGGGCGTGTCCTTGTGCACCTCTAGATCAGATGCAAATTTGTCTCTAGATTGCAGAAAAGATAATGCATTTGTACCTAGTCCAGGTGTCGTAGGTGGAACTTGTGCCCCTTTAAATCCAAATTTGTATCTGTCGAAAAATTGCACAAGGACGCAGTCGTATCTACGTACAACAAAAATCTCCCTCCCCATTTATAGTGTAATTATATAAATTTTCTAAGAAACAAGCAGAGGCAGCTCTTTCTAGAAAGTGTTTGGAAGTGTGTACAAGCAAGCACTAAAGCAAGTGTTCAACTTCATCATGCAAGTGTTCAACTCGGTAGCTGTTGGTAGATGTGCACTTGGAACGTTCCAACTTTTCTCCTTATAGCTTACTGTGAGGGAAGCAACTTGTGCACGGCGCACGCTCCCATGATAAATGATACACACGAAATATGAGCCGCAAGGAATGGGGTTTATGGACATCATATTTGCATTCTTCTGGCGGAGACCAAGAATTTGACGGAAAAGGCCACAAATGTTATTATCCCTTTGAAGTTGGCGGAAGTGTTGAACCATGGTTGCATGGGATGCACCCCACTAACGCATTAAATGCGGGGGTTGGCCGCGGGCTGTGCCACAACACCTGCGAGCGAACCCGGCCAGCTTGCTGCAATCTGCAAAACCTAGTGGAGTGTGAGATAGCGATAGGAACTGACCATGAGAGCGGCGGGGGAGGGAAGGGGGCGATGCACTTGTGCTATCTGCCCGGACACCCCAGACCGGCTGCCGCTGCTGCTGTCGCCGATGCCAGCTCACGTGGTTCACATCCCTCTCCTCGGCCCGCCAGCGAGAGAGTTGTATATTTTATTTTATTAACTTTACAATCACAACTGTTTTCCAACATCAGCTACGCCAAAAAACATGAGAATACTTTTTAAAAATCCAGAGATGCGCTTGCACCACACCAGTACGGAAGTAAAAGCAACTCTCTTATACAATAGTTTTATGCACCGTACCTTCATACAAGTGCGGATGATGTTTGGTATACCTGAGGCCTTAATTATATTATTTGTTAACATGTAGTTTTGTTTCATTTTGTAGGTTTTTGTTGAAACACATTTTTATTACATTATGGCTGTCTGCTCGGTTCAGTGACAATAAAAAAATCTCAAATCCCTCCCCTCCTCGACTCCAGGTCACTATAGTTACTAGTGACCCGATATCTATCTCCCTGTCACGCGTACGTGCGAGCCGGGTTCATCCTCACCGTGCTCGGACCCCTCCTCTGCCCCCTCTCCCCCTCTTCAGCTTGACCCGGAATTCAAGTCGGATTCGAATAAGTGATTATGTACCCCTGCGAGCCCGAGAGCGGTTCGCAGCCAGCAAGGGTGTG